CATCTAGGCCAACAGATCTTTCAACCTTTATGTAATTGTTAATCACTGATTCCAGAAAGCTTGAGCGATGCTTCAAGTGTAACATTATTTGTAATTGCTTTATGAATATTCATGAAACTGAATGAAGACACATTTAACATATAAATGATATGAAGCATTGGTAGTGGCTTGCAGTAAGTATTGGTAGCCATTAGTAATGACTGCTGCTGTTTGGAAGGATGGATTCACATTCAAAAGCAGACCTGGAATAAAAATAGTTGTCCCTCAACCCGTTCTATATGCACACTAAAACAGCACAATGCAGAAAGATGTAAAGTGAGGATTAGGAAGCAGAGATAAACTCACTGAATTATGTTACAAGTCATACCTAAGGCGAGCAATGCAATGGTCTAGGTTGTTAGAAATTTCCATCAGCCATCCCTGCTTGTGACGTTTCAAAAGCGCTGCTTCATCTACCTAAGAGAAACAGCAGAGATCTTACAACTCCTGTTTCCCCTACCCAGTCACTTTTACCTTTAGTTTTTCAATTAGCCTGCAAGAAGGAGTAGCAAATAGGTAAAGGGAATAGACCTGCCTTGGCCTTAAGAACATGGAGTGATTGTTCAAATACTTATTTTTAACCTCGATTTTGTCTGCACTTTCTGTTCTCTTTTACTCCAAGCTTGAAGCAAGAAAAAAAGACTTTTTAATACATCATTTCCCAAAATATGTTACAAACCAAAAATTATCATTAAAATTGTACAAAGGTAATATTTTCCTGGCAATTTTAATTATTCTTATTGTTTCTTTTCATTATAATACTGGGGGGAAAAGAAAAAAAAAAAAAAACGACAAAATGTGCCAAACTTATTTTTACAAATCTGGCCATTTTCTGTGAAAATAAAATTTCTATTTAATTAAGGAACTATTTTCTTTGATCAGCTCAGAGAGACATTTCTGCCAGACTGCCCAGGATGAAGCAATGGTTTGATGAATAAAACTGACCCTCGCTTTTGTTCTTCTACTGCGGGTTGAAAATCTCAACCAAATATGGAAAAGAAAAGAGGAAAACATTTTCTTGTCCCAGCTGGCTAATGCCTCTGAAAAATGGAATGGATCAAAAAAATACTATATCTTTAATGCCCTCTTCTTTGAACTTTGAAGATCCAAACAAGCTCAATCCCAAATCTGTACTCTTTTCTGGGCTCAGCTTCTGTTTGTGTCAGTGTGTATATGCATAAGAGACAGCTGGATAAAAATATAAATGGATGGACAAACTGTGGAGGTGCTGGCACAGATTCTATATTAATGTTTCAATGTGCAAACTTTCACATCATTAATACTTTTATAATGAGCTATTGGTGGCATATAGCAAGTAGCGAAATTAATTCAAGCCAATTTTCTGTGGTAGCAATGGATTTAAACCCCCACAGTGGGGTATGTGCACAAGAACACACAGCCTGAGTATCTTCTAGTATTTTGTTAAAGCATTTTTACTTCTCTATAATCCACCCCCATCATTTTCATTCTATTATTTCTCATTAACAAAGTATTTATACGTAAATTAAATAAGTTTTGTATTCAGGAGTCACTCGAACACCAGGAAACCTTTTATTTCCTAATTAGTCTTAGTATGAGAAACCTTCCATCATTTCTCACATCAGTAATCGAGACTATCCTCCCAAAACCCCAGATTATGATAATATCAGTGTCACTGCCAATGGAATTATTCAATAAAGTCAGGTGCCGTGGAGGGCAGCTTCTTTGGGAGTTGTTTAAATCAGCACAGGAGGAAAGATATTAAATGGTCTGTATGAATTAAAGGAACAGGGTTCATTTGAAGCTCAGCATAACACAGATGAAATATTTAAATCTGTTACCACATCCTACATATTTTACTTCAGTGCTCTCTGACAGTCTTAGTCTTTCACAGACTTGTTAGCATACTTAAGAAAACTAGCTTCCTTTGAACCACTTTCAAAAATATGCTCATTTTTTGATCAGCATTAATCAGTAGTTTAAAAAATTGCACAAACATGATGAGCTAATGTCACCTTCAGTGTAACCCTAGAGAGCTTAGTGTAGCTCAGAGGAGCTAGTCCGGCCCTCCATACAATTATTTCATAAAATTACAATCTGCTTCATGTCAAACAGAAGAGGTAAAAGACTTGCACCACTAATCCCTTCTGTCTGAGCTTCGGAAGCCCTGGCTGACAAAATGACATCTCTTGCACAATTCATCAATGCCATTTGCATAAATAGTTCCTTAAATAAATAATATGAACACATATATAGCTATCCACATGTGCTCCTGAGACTCATTTCCGACAAGGATCATCTCACAGGAGATAAAAACCAGGCGATATTCAGTCTCCTGAACAAAATTATCTGCAGCCGTAGAGATGAAAAGGACAAAGGACTGCTGTGAATAGCATTCACTGGAATCTTTCCTTTGTATTCTAGCATTTGAAAGATCATGATGACAGAGTAGAAGTCTGAATAAAGATAATTTATTCATTAATAATTTATTCACTACTAAATTGAATAAATTTATTTCATCTGCAGGGAGTACCTGATGAGATCTCAAATACATGCAAAACTCATGTGCTAACAAAAACACGTTTGCACCATCATTGTAAAGCAGATGAAACCCTAAACTTCCATGAATAAGACCTGAGCTAGCCAGAGCAGGTCAGATTTACTGCATGCCATGTGGGCAGTCTGACCCATTATGTTTTGAAGTTTTATTATAATTACTATAGAGCAGATTGCAATATTCTTACCACTTCACAGCAAGTGACATGCCCACATCAGAGGTCTGCCAACTAATTCCCTCTATAAATGACTTTGGCTGAGAAGGCTAAACTCCCACTCCAGTCAGCTCTGACTGGAGTTTAGTTCTCAAAAAAATCTCTCTTCCTCTGGAGCAGTAACAAGAGCTCATCACCCACAGATAGTCAAAAGAGCTCAATGCATTTTGGTCAGTCCTTTATCTGCTCCATCAAGAATATTTCCCCAGTGTACTGAATTCAAAGGTAGTCATGGGGACAGAAATGCATGGAAATGTTTATTATTTCTCAGCAGTGAATATCAGTAAAGATATTCACTACCATTTTCACACAATTGCATAGCAACATTTTCTGTTAAAAATTGTTGCAGTGTTTCATCCTTCCACCTGATTTGTTGGAACAGAATCCCATGATAAGCATAATAGCTGAAAAATGAAGGTATTAGGAGAACATAATGTTACTTTTTTATATGAAAACATATTCCACTAAAAACTTACAGGTATATGTACTTGCCAAAATTACAATGTTGGTGTTCTGCATTATATACGATAATCAAGGATATCTGTGGATCCCGTGGATCCTATCACATGCTGTTCCAATTGCTTGAACATTAGCAGTCTTTGAATCACAGATCATTATTAGTTTCTCTTTGTTTATGGGAGGAAACAGCTGGGCTATTTTAACATATTTGGAACAGAGAAACATTACATCAGGATGAAAGACTCTCTACAAAGAATATATGCTGTGGGTGAGCTTTAGGGAATAGGGAAAATGGTACTACAGAACATCTCCGCCATCAGCATTTTCCGTTAGTACAACTTAACTTTGCAGTCTACAAACTGGGATTCTCATAAGTGCTTGTAATTAGCCTCACCATCTTCATGCTGAAGCCAACTTTAAAATTCCCAGTTTTACAAACTCCCATTGACTTCAAAGAACCACAACACCAAATAACTTCATTAATCTCAACCTTGACTAGTAACCATACCAACATTTTTAACAAGTACCTTCCATTGCACCTGATAAAGGTGCCAGAGGCATTAAAGATTAATAGTAACGTAACTAACACCTTTTTAACATAGACTATTTTGGCATAAGAGAGTGCAGTTCCCATGGGAATTGCCTGCGGAAGTTACATGCTTTCACACATGAAAGGAGGGGAGCTCAAGCACTGAGAATGGCTCATCTCACAGCATCATTCTGCATTATTTGTGAAGAAATCATAAGAAGTTACTGTCCATATTTTTACAGTCTGGTCCAGTGAGTAAACACACAGAGGGTGGAACAGCAGTGAAAAATGCTCAGCAATGAAAAGGACATACAGATCTTAGAAAAGAGGGGGTTTCTTTAAGTTTGGCTTGTCAGGGTTAGTTTAGGAACACATCAGATCAGGAGAATGAGGGTTCTGATACAGCACATGAAGGAGAGAAGACAGAAAGAAAGCAGTATTGTGCTCACCTCTGCAATGATCCCCACACACCCAGCAATGACTGCAGCCTTTGCTTGAGCCCCACTCATCCCACCAAGACCAGAAGTAACAAACACCTTTCCAGACAGGTCTTCTGCCTTCAGGTAGCGACGGCCTGCATTGAGCACTGTGAGCTGCACACAACACAATATAGCAATTATCAGGAGCTATTTTCCTAGAGTCCTGAAATTTAAAGATGTTCTGTCCCTTTGGCAAACAGAGTTTGAAACTTTGTGGTTATTGGGACCATGAAACTGTTTCAGTCTTTTAAGAAGGAAACGTGATGACATGAAACCATCTGTCCTGATTATGTTCATTTCTCTCACCGTGAAACAGAATAATCAGTGGCTCCCAAAATGCTGCTTTTGGGGTGTAGAGACTTATTGAGGATGGCTGCAAAAGAAAGCTAAGGAAAACAGCTAAGAAAACATACTAAGACAATGTTTTTGTCTAACACATTTGGTCAATTCATACTTCACTTACTGCAGCTAGATATGAGCTCAGATTAAGACATTGATTGCAGATTCCTTCAAGTCTGTGTTCTGGATAAGGCACCATGGACTATCTGACTGGAAGGGCATTAATATTTTGAAGGAGCGGGCAACGAGAACATCTTTGGTAGCCAGAACATCCTCTCACAGCAATCCAATCCACTCCAGTCACCAGCCACTGTGGGAAGTACCCTCCTCCAAAAGCTATTGACAAATAGACCTTTCCCCAGTTTCTTACCACAGTCCCATGGACTATTCCCTGGGGCCCAATGTAGCAGTAGCTCCCTGCAGTCATCTGACCATACCTAGCAATAGCAACAGACAGAGTGATACCACATGTTACTCAGGCTGGAATGAATTCTGTACACCTCTACATATGCTTCCAGTATAACAAAAAAATCACTATGCTTCGATTTGTTGTTAAAGATCTTCTATTATCAAATTCACAACTTATTTGAGTTTCTTCATTAGCAATGCACCCATTTTTGGAGGAGCACTTAGCTCATTAATTGAGTTAAAAAAATACAAGGATCAAAAAACTGAGTGTAAACTTGTCTTGGCATTTTAGTATAGCGACTAGGACACAAGGACACTCCTTTCACTGTGTTGGCATCTTTATGGATTGGTTTTCAGTGGCACTCACACTTCTAAGTCACAGTCACTTTTGAAGTTGTTAGCCCAAAACAGTTGTTTCCATTCCTATGAAATTCCCAGGAAAGTGGCAATGGATATTGTCTATTCATGCCCTTTCACTTCTTCCAGCTTCTTTATCACCCAGCTCTCCAGTGGTTTTAATTTATTCTCTCCATGGTACACAACAGAATAGTAATCCTATGCTCAACTAGATCAGTAGTAAAAAAGTAGGTAAAAATATTTTTAAAAAAAAGAAAGATAACTTTCTACTTCAAAGCTTTCTCTTAGTGTGAAGGAATGTTTCATAACTTGTGTTTTCTGCAGACTGCTAAACAACCACTGCAAAGTGGAACTAGCCAGTGCTAGAAGTAGGTTATGATTAAGGCTTCAGGCTGTAATTCAGCCAAGTCCCACACATAAACCTAATACTAATTCCTAGCAGACCTCAATTACATCCTTGTATATGTGGCTGAACATAACTCAAACTCCTAAGTAATTCCACTTAAGTGTGCATTAATGCTTTGCAGCATCAGGACTTTATGCAGCACAGTTGAAATCCATCTGCATTAGAAATTTTAACCAGCCACTGCTTGATGTCTGAATCACATTTTAGTTAAGTATTTGATATATTTTAATAGTAACGTATCTTCTTACATTGTTACTCCCAAAGCAAACATCTTCTCATATTCATCTCTGGTGGAATAGTTTGGAATAACCTAAGAAAACGATCAAAAGAAAACCCACATAAGAAAATTAGAGATTTAAGCAGATCTGTTTAACAGCCTACATTTCTCTAACTATGGTCCCACACATAGAAAAACAGGAGGAGCAATTCAGGTGTTTTATTCCATGCATTCAAGTATTAGAAAAAAAGTCGTCTGGTCTTTCTGGCAGTATGACTGTCATTCAAGTTTTAAGGAAAGCAGTTCTTTAGCTACAAAACTAGCCTGCAGAGTGACAGATATGAAATGGCTCAAAAGACTGGCAATGAACTAGTATATTCACTTGTCCTGCTTGCCTTGCAAGCAAAGCAGTCCAGATATCTGAGCATCTGTTTAATAATAATCTGTTTGCCTATTGAGCGCTTTTAAATCTTCCAAACTGAGCCAAGCTGAACTGTTTTGGTCAAGAACATGTACAGCTCTGGCTCAGTCAGAATAGAATTCATCTAATAAGGAGAGGCATGTTCCCTCCCTCACTGCAGATCAGCAGACTTGAGATGAGAACAACTGTACTGGAACAAAATGCTGCAGAATTTGGATGCCAGATTCTCCTGTGTGCTGTTGTAAGTTCAAGCAGTACAAATGATATTTTAATTCAGCAAACACTTGAAAACTAAATGAAGAAGAGGAAAAAGAGAAAACAAGGTGCTAATACCTACCATGCCATTAGTAATGATTAATCGAGGAGCATACTGATGGCTTAAGAGTCCCAGAGGATGTCCACTGTACATTACTAGTGTTTGCTCTTCAGTCATCTCTGACAAATAGTGCATTACCAACCAGAACTGAAAGGAAAAGCAAAGAAAGTGAGGGAATCTGTTTGCTACCGATCTTACATTTATGTTTCTTTGTGAAGCTGCTAAACCTTGAGTATGAAGGCAACTATAGAGATAATGAGGTGTGTTCACATATGGAATAACAGCCAGAGCTCTCAACACATTCTTGCTTTTAATAAAATCCATTAAGAGATATCACTCTGCAGGAAATGTAAATCACCAACTAGCAAAGGTCTGAATAAGTTCCAGAATAATTTCTCCAGTACAAACCCCAGAAATCTTTCATTTTTAAAGCCATCCTAATTTTATCTTGAGGTTAACCATTTGGATCTGGCACTTTTCTGGCATTTTTTCCAAAGCCAAACTGCAAAATTTTCCCTATAAAAGTGATTAAAATACCCACACATATTGTTGATCCTAAGCTGAAATGGATAATTCAGTATCTTCTAGTGCTTGTCATCTTTTCAACAAATGGGTATTACAATGTGCTCTTAAAAATTAAAGCATTTTTCTTCTCAATTCAGCTTTCATTACGGACAGTGAAGAAAGTCCTTGAGATAACCAGGAGTATACAAATAAATGCATCTCAACTTTGTCTGCATAATTCAGTAGTTACTCTTGATGTATGCCAAAAAGTAGACTTTGACCATCTAAGCTGCCTATAGATTTGATTCACATCCATCATTGCCTATCACAAAACCCATTATATTCCATGGGACTTTTAGTATGTGACAACTAGGCCTGAGAGAAGCTTTCCCATGCAATATTGGAATTCCACAGTAGCTTGAAACTAGAATTTCTGTAGGGACACAGAGACAAAGTTTTGAGAAAAAAATGGAACTGCTGATCAAAGAGATAGCAGTATCAGTGACAAATAAACAAAACCAGTTGTCATGGGGACTTAACGTCTGTGGCTGCAGCTTCGATCTGAATTAAAAATGGTACAGATTTGAAGCCAGTCCCTTCTAACCTAGCTAATTTCCAAAGTTGCAAGTTAAGTTGAACAGGAAAGAGCTACTAGAGTTACTGTCTTGCTTTTTACATTTTGTTTCATACAAAATGTTGAATATTCACATTCACATTCTGGTCCTAGGACAGAACAGGTAACTAGCGGAACTCTCAACTTGTTAGCAGGCTGGGAAAAATGTAATACAACTTGAAGCTGTAAGATAGTTAGATCTTTTTGCATTGAAAGGCACAACTAGTAAGAAGGAGGCTAATGCCTGTCCTAGCTTAAAGAACAGTTCTGTTGTCTGCAGGCTTGTAAAGTTAGCCCTGGACATGGTTCTTGCTTTTAGAATTAGTCAGAAGAAAGCAGAGGTCTGCATGGATGATATAAACCAAACTGAACCTTTTCACTAGGACTTTTGCAATGATAGATTTCAAAAAAAAGTATGTTGTTTTCAAGCCACAAACAGAACAAAATGTTCTGTCACAACTGAATCATTCATGTGATTGCTACTCTAAGTAAGCAAAAACAAAAATGTTTTGTTTGTTCTGCTGTGAAACAACTGCAGGTCATAGCTCTGGCTTGGATGAACAAGGGAATATTTCTGACTTCGGCAGTGCTTCTACTTCACCTTGCAGCCCAGCATCTGCCTAAGGGATGCCTAGGCCAGTTCAATAAATGCTACTATATAAACTGCTAGCACTGCTCACATAAGAAATGCTGTAAAACTCATGTAGTTAACAGGCATTAGTTAACTGGCACTTACTAATTAATACACAGAATAAAGAAAGGACGTGCATTGCCATGGTACCTTTCTTTTAAAAAGTCAGAACAGTTCTGCCTCAAAAGCTGCCTCAGACTTCCATTTAACTCCCATTTAACAGATTAGGAAACTGAAATGTGTTTTCTTTTAGCCACAAATGAAAACTCACAGTCAAACTGGGAAGAAATCCAGATCACTCAGTCCCATGCTATCCATTTCTCTCCCCTAACTAGGAACTTAATTTACACATTAGTTTTCCTTGGATTTTTTAATAAGCAAGATGCCAGGTTCAGATAGAGGCACAACAAGGTGCATACATGATCCTTTATGACAAAAGTTGGCCCCTTAAGTTAGCTTTTGCTTATGTAAGCTGCAGAATCAGGACTCAAGATCTTTGCAGCCTTTGGGAGTGATGCTGCCCTTAAGGGTGATGTCGCTTTCTACCCTGTGCCATTTCTGTTCATGCACTGCAAAACTCAATGCCAAATCTCCACCTGTCCCCACTTGGTGACCTTGGGGCATACCAGAGGCTGCACAGATTATGTGGTTTTGGCATTCACAATTTTGTGTCTATCACAGACACTCAGGATGGTTGTTCATTGAATGTTCTTCCTGCCACCACACACCTGTAGAGCATTCAGACCCAGAGTGTTTATTTTTCTTGAGAGAATAGAGCTCACACAAAACATAAGTCTAAATATGTAGTTGATGCCAAAGATCTCCTGAAAATGTTTCCCACGTGCATTTTGCACTACTTGGATTAAAGGAAGCGTATTTATTGCCATTTTTGGACAGAGAAGGAGAACGGAGATTATACAACCACACCTCAAACATCCCAGCTCTGATTTGAGACAGGCTTTTACCCAGCTGCCATTATTCTCAGAAGATCAGCTATAATGTTGCTAGGCCTGACAGTAAAGTGCACTGTGATCTAGCCAGCTAGCATGTAAATATTTACAGCTCATCTGATTTGCTTGGGAAAAGACTCAGGATTGCACTTTCTTAAATCAAAGAGGTTTTGGTGGGGTTTTTTTTAATTCCACTACTTGTGAAAAATGTTGCAAAATTATGAGAAACAAGCAAGCAAAAGGTACACATTTTTGCTTCCTAGAATTCATTTTGACTCTAAAATTTTCTGTGTGAAATACACAGGCACATACAAATGTATCAGAGCAAGACAAAGAACTGGCCTTTACATCATCATACATAGCTTGGTATGTTTAAGGTGTTATGTTTAGTATTTCTGTTGTGCTGTCTGTGCTCTCCCCAGTTAATAACTGAACATTCCTCTATCCAGACAGGATGTTTTGGAGTATTTTGAGATCATGACTGCCAAGAATTGTCACAAACTGCCTAAGCAGAATGTGCATGGGGGAGGGTGAAGCTGGTTTTGTGAAACACATTGCAAAAGCAGCAATGTCCTACCTGCACCCAGTTGCTGAAGACCTGCCCATTTCCTCCATAAGTGACAAGCTCCTGAGGAAACTGAAAAAGACAATTTAACAATAAGGCAAGCACTTTTCTGAAACATTTCACTGTATCTCCAATCTATTTTTTTTAACCTCAGTAATAAATCTTTTCTAGAGGTTATTGCATCAGCACTCTCTAGATTCTCAAAATCAGAAAATACCGTCATAAAAGTGATAATTTAAGAAAAAAATAACAACATTCTTTTTCAACAAACACCTGTTTGTTATTGTTAGAATGGTATTTGGGATGCAGAATGCTACAAAGTGGTTCCTTGATTACAGTTTCTGTATCAGACAGACATCCCAGTAAATTCCCTTAAAGGAGGACTGAGTGAGCTTATAGTTTGGTTGCCACTGGCATTTACAGATGGAAGAGTCTATAACCAGCATGGCATAGTTGCATGGCCTCTCCCCTGCCATTTGCAAAAAGAGGCATTAACCTGGGTAGTGCTTGTAAGGGTGGACTTTAGTCCTGTATCCTCTAGTCAATCTGTCCTTGAGAGACAAGCTTTCAAAGGTACAGGAAGAATTAGCACTAATTTTTCAACAGAAGTTGTAGAAGCAATGTACTAATGTAGTGGGAGCTGGAGTGAACCTTGTTGGTGCTGTAGGAGCCCTCAAAGGTCTGTGTTAGGACCAGGACCCACTGTGCAGAATTAAGAACCGTACACATCAGGAAAGTGAGGAACTTAATACAAAAGACCACAAACCCCAGGAATCAAGACATAACCACAAGAAAAGTATAGAATCACCTTTAACCCCTTGCAGGCTTAGCCTCACAGAAATAATGTTCTAGCACATCACCCCATAAGGGGGCTGCCTCGGCACTGCTGAAACTGGCCTGCTTAGCTAACACACAGCAGCCAGCTCTTCATGTACAGGGGCTGGCATGTACCTTGGGGCACAGAACCAGCAAAAGACTTATGAACAACTAAAATCCTATTCACTCAGTGGAAGGAAAATCATCTGCACAAGGATTAATTTCACCTATACGCCTAAATCCTCCAGTCTTTCTGTGAGAGCACACACAGAAAGTAACGTGCAGACTTGCTGCTGCTCAATGAATCCTTATTTTCACTGTACCTTACCTGAGCCACTGAGGGATCCAGATTATTCATGATCATCAACATAATGGCAGCAGCTGATTTGGTCTTGCAAGGGTAGTCTCCTATGGGGTATGCTCTGAAACGGTAGTCACAAAAATTTAGGAGAAACTTTCACTCACAAGGGCAACCACAACAACATACCCTACAGAAATATCCCTGCATGCCAACACACTCCTTTCAGTTGCAGGCTTTTATCCAGGAAAGAAGGAAAAAAAAAAGAAGGAAGTGCAGATCTGAAATGACATATGTACCTTAACAGGCAAATCAGGCTTTAACTGTTATCAGAACAAAGCAAAGAAAAAAAAAAAATTGTACTCAGCTTATCATTTGCTGAACCAGTTAATCACAATTGATTATAAACATGGTGTCCAAGAGCTCCCATTGCTTTTTAACTAGATTATTTTTGGGATGCTGGAACTGGCCTCTGTAGCACAGTTGCCAGGCCAAGCAGCTAAGTCCTGCAATGCCAAGGAAAACAGCATCAGCGGAAGTTGCCTTCAGGCTCAAGAGCCCTTGTTGTTTAAGTTCCTATCTAAGAAAAAACACCCAGCTTGAATTTCAGTCACAAAGAAGCTCTCAAAAAATGAACTAGTTAGGAGAAATATGGGCCTTTTTACTGAATAAAATGCATTTCATCCAGAAAGATGAGAGCTGGGGTATGGGAAACCCTCACAAAGATACTCTGATTCAGGTTTCCTAGCACTAATGTGTTCAATGCCAGCTGCTGGGATCATCTCACTGTTATCTTCTCCACTATCTGTTTGTCATACCAAATTGTTCTAAAACTTCTAGTCCTAGATTTATACTGTAGCTCTTCGGGGCAGGGACAGTTCCTTTGCTGTGTTTGCGTGTCTTAGCACAACTGTGCTGAGGCCTCTA